ACTGATTTACAGCTCTATGACTTTATGACTCTTGAATGACATCATGACTGTGGTAGAAAAGCAACCTGTGGAAATTGTGTGTCCTACCATAATCCAAAGGGGAAGGCTACATTGCCCAGGGCTTCAGCCTGCTTGGATAGTGGTTGTACATAAAAGATGATGGAAATAGGGAACTTTAATGTATATTCATCAAGGCAATCCTTATGTTTCTGGGAAGTTACTAATGTGACTTTATGGGGCAGATTTCATACACCAACTGCAGTAAATGTTCTCCTGCTGCTTTGGGCATATTTATAGCTGTCACAGTGTTGAGACAGCATTGTAGATAGCTAATTCTTGTGCCGAAAGCAGCCTAGATACAGCAACAATGACTGCAATTCAGGGTAAATCCTAAATATTTATTGGCTTCCTGGGTAGATTTTACAGCCTTCACTGAGCTCCGGGCTTCTGTGGCTAGGCTGCTATGGGTATGAAAGACAACTAGTTTAAAGATAGCTCAGGTGTGTCTACACTTCACCCATGACAGTGACAGAAGCATAAACGCATCATTTAGCATTCCTAGAGTTTGCATCACTTCGCATCAGGTGCCATCTGTCAGCCACGTACAAACCAGAAATGAAGCTGGTAAAAACAGTATGCGTTTTAAAAGCCAGGGAAATACAGAGCAGCTGCCTTCATGTTTCTCAAATGTAGGCCATTTTTATCCAGAAAGAGGTGTTTGTTTTCTAAGACTGTACTAAATGGACAAACTTCCTTCTCCATTATGCCTCTGAAACATGAGGAAGAGTCTGCCTCAGGCACTAAAAGACAATAAACTACTCACAGACAGTGAGATCTGTAGGGAAGAGTCAGGATTTTGCTAGTGGTAGTAGTAGCAGCAGCAGTACAGGCTGGACAGGAGTTTGAAGACTGTTACAGCAAAAATTATGACTGAACAGCTAAAGTACTTCCAGTGCAACTCTAGCCATACCACTTTACTTTTCTGTACTTATTCTGTTAACCCTCCCATCTCCTTCTTAGCATACTGCTGTTTTAAAATCACTTTGCAATTTGTTATTAGCTACTTTGCAGTAGAAGAGCAAAGTGTTGTGTTCAGCTGTAAATGAACATGTTCAACACGCAGATTGCAATCAGTCTCTCTCCATCCTTAAGCACATGGTATGACCAAGTTTGTTCCACTGCGAGAGTATGGTAGAGTGCGTATAGCTCACTGCCCTATGCTGTGGGGTCAGATTTAAACTCTCCGTGATTTGCTTCATTTGTTACTGGAACTTGAGATACAGTAATTTGTGGTAGCAACCAAAGTAGCAGTTGTGGATTCCAGTTTTCACTCATTCTGCCTGGTACCTTCCTTCTTGTCTTTCTTTGTTCATCATGCAGCATTGAACACTATTTACTCAGCTGTGGCCTGGAGACAGGAAGGAGCAATGTGGTCATGCACCAAAACTGCCCTTGTTTATTCCAAGCAGCTCTTGGCAGACAAAATGGTGCATGGGCAAATGTAATTTTCTGCATGGTCTTCACTGACCTTGCTGTAGAGAATAGGAAAACAGTCATCACAGCAAACTGTAGATACCTCCTAAGGTCTGCGGTGATCCCCCTTCCTGTGTAATAGGTACCCATCTGTAGTCTGAGAAATTGATATGATTTATTGCTCAGGCACCTGGGGTGTCTACAGGCTGAGTTGTGTTACAGCCTAGAAGAATCTGCCTGTGTACTTTAGTGACTAATTTGGTGCTGTTTCTCCAGGCATAAGAAGCAAAGGGCTTCTTTCTTTAGAGAAGGAACTTCTCTGCACCACTTCAGCTTTGTGTGCAATTCCCATCTAAATAAACCATTTGCCCAAAGACTGAAACTGTAATTAATTCCACTTTCATTGACAATGACCTTCACCCTCTCATGTGCTGGCTGGAGAGGATCTCTGCCACCCTTTCCCAAAGTCTTTTTGAGCAGACTTCTGCTTTTGCTCTATGTTGTTTTGTTGTTTTGTGATGGAGGAGTAAGGATGATGCTGTGACTTGGTATGAAGAGGGAGGAGAGAAAGACAGCGTAAATTATTATAAGTTTTAAAAGTATGTTATTTCCAGCAAATGAGAGTTCTCTATTTATGCCTCAAAACTAATGTTTGCTTAGGGCCCAGTTACCCTCTCAAGCTGCTTTTGCCTAGCAACCTGACAGGGACTGCGAACAAAGTCCTGCTTTCTCAGGAAACGTCATCCTTTAAAAAACCCTTAAAGTCCTTCACCTTCAGGGGGAGAAAAGAGGAGGCTAAGATTCAGAATTAATGAAAGGGGGCTTCACTGATGAAAGTGAGCAGATTATCCTCCTAGAGCCTGTCTGTTCTGAATGCATAAGGGATGCTTCATACATTGCTGGACACCACACTGAAAATCTAGAGGGGGGTCAAAGCAGAGCAACAGATATGACTGGGCTAGGTAGGGGGATGTAGAGGGTAAGATAAACAGATTTAACTTTAAATAAATACCGTTATCAGTTAAATAGATTGAATAAGATACCATATGAAGAAAGGGTTATTATAATGATCCGTTGGCAAAAGAAAGGAAAAAAATAATGGAGAGCAAGAGGTATAAGGATGCATAAATAGGAATTTGAACTTAAGCAAACAGAAAAAGTAAATTGAGTATTGCATAAAGCTTCCAAATGGTGTGACTCCTTCAGACCAATATGTAGGCTTTTTAGACAAAGACTGGAAGTTTAATGCCCAGCATTATTAAAAGCTAGATTTAGAAAGCCTTGAAGAGTAGTTGTAAGAGGTCCATACTGTCCTCTTCAATTATGAGAAAGTGTCTGTTGCAAAAGAGCCTTTTTATTTGCAAGTTCTCTGTTTTCCTGTAACCTGCTTCCTATGCTGAGCCTGTTGAAGATGATTTTGTGAAAGTTGTGTGTACCTTACATGATCAGGTAGTTTTCTTAAGAACTTAGGACCAAAATCTCTACTGCTACAAATGACTGTTGATCTAACAAAATAACAGAGAAGAAAATTTTCTTTCCTCTATGTTGTGTTATGAAAGAGAAATAGTGAGCTGAAAATTTAGTTAAAAATATGCATCTTCCTGCTCATGATAACTGAGACCTATTCAATAATTTCCTTTTGCAGTCATACATAAAACTTGGTGATACTTTCCTTGATGACATTCAAGGAACTGATTAGCTAACATTGCAGGAGAAAACCCTGCCATTCCACTGGATACCATCATTAACCCAAACTCAGATATATGCTGACTGAAGGACCAAGTAGTATCTGCAATAAAGAGCAGCCTCTGATTTGTGTTTTAGTAAGAAATGACAATACAAAAAAGTTACAGTGCTCTCCATGTTCTCCCAGACATCTGTAATTTCAGTGCAGTCACAGATATTTAATTCAGCTCAGCATTCAAGTTTGGGAAGAATAGAGATTCTGATGTATTTATCCTTACAGTAGAATAGGTTGCACAAATCCCTGCAATGGTATTGTAGTTCTGCACAGGCTGGGACTTCCTTGTGTTACAGATTTCTGACTGCAGAGTTGGCTTTTCCAGACAAAGCAAAATCTTTCTACTCAGCATGCAAAATAACCTTTTCAGAGCATGACCCTAAACCTAAGGCACTTCATGAGACAGAAGGTCCTCCCAAGAGTGGTGCAAAGTATGGTACTCTAGAGAGCATCTATAATGCATGTCAAAGAGTCTGACAACAGTGTTTTTCAGCCATAGGGTTTCCTGAACTGAAGAGAAAAATAGTAGCGCTCTCCTCTCTTTCCTCCAGTTCCCTGGCTAATAATGTAGGTAAAGGAAAAGTCTATAACTTGACTTTGGTGACAGTCCTTCTGCAGTACTTCTTTAGTCAGCATTGAAAAATATTAATTTGGCTGGGTTGGACGTCGCAGTGAAATGTTCCTTTGATACTGCATACCTGCCTCGTGAAACATCTGACAAAGGCACAGCATTTTCCCTTTCTCTCACTTCTGTCAAACTGACAGGCTTTGAGGAGTTGTGGAGATATGGAGAAGTTGTGGCTATCATCTGGGACAAGGCTGATTATTTGGTTGGGAGCCTAAGGAAGGCTAAGATGTGTCTTTGGCAAAAGAATTCATGCTCTGTACCTCAGCCCTAATGCCTGTGCCCTTTGGATCCCCTCCCTGACTACTGCTTGGCTCTACTTCCACCCCTGGCTCTTTCTTCCATACTTTGCATTCTTCTGTATATAGAAGCACTGCAAAATTGCTGCTGTTCAGCTAGTCTTCTCCTTAACTCCAGTCCACAGCCTTTTGGACTATGAACATACAATCATGTAGGGTGCTTTGACATAAGTATGATTCCATTCCCTTGGGATCCTATAAGCTTTCCTAAGTCACCTCTCTTAGACTCCTGCTGAACCACAGAGGCCTTTCTTGACCAGTCTTTCACAAAGCTGCTCTCTAAAACATGAATCGTTTGATTGGTTTTCTTGTGTTTTTTGGATCTTTGTTCTGTGCTTCCTATAATACAGTGACCAGATTTGTACACATTATTCCAAAAGAGACCATCCAGCTGCCTTACTGAATGCCAAAGTAATAACGTCTGTGGTTTATACTCTGTAGCCTTCCATACACAACCCAAAAACCTTGTTTGCCTTTGTTACTGCTGCCAGATGTTCTGTGGATGGTTTTCAGGCGTATTGCGGTGAATGTCACCATGCCAGTGAATTTCAGCAAATTTAAGCAACTTTGAAATTATTTCTTTTTCCACATGGTTATATTCAAGTCAAACCAAACTGTGTTCCCACTTGAAACTGCCCTGTTTTGGTTACCTGTTTTTGACACTGAACCACTACCTGTTACCAGTTTCTCTGCAGGAGGCTCTTCAATAGGACTTCCCCTTTATCAGGCCTCTTTCTGATTGTCTTTGCTGGAAACTCCATCTGAAGAGCCCTGTTCTGAGGTTCTAGGGAGCAGTTATATTGTCATTAGTACTCAGTCTACTTGAATTGAGAGTAGAATGGAATATGAGGGTTTTTTCTAGAGAGGAAGCAAGGGGAGGGAACAGCCTGTAAAAGAATTACGATGTTCTCACCTCTCTTTTTCTGCAGATTTGCTGACAGCACAGGAATACCACTGCCTGCTGCAGCTGCTCTGCCCTGACTTCCCAATGGAACTCACTCAGAAAGCAGCGAGGTGAGTCGTCATCCTCTCTTTTAAGGCAAGACCAGTCCTACATACATGGACTTAGGAACTAGATCTGTGGGTAAAGGTATGGACAGGGACCTTCAGCTTTTAAGATTTTGGGGAAAAGAGATACCATGTTTGAGGTTAAGAACGCGGTGGTTTTCTA